GGTTGCGATGGATTTTGGCGCCAACTTTCAACACTGCATAGAGCGGCTTCAAAAGAAGCAGATGGTCACAAGGTAATCGCGAGCGAGCGAGCGAGTCAGTCGGCCAGGCTGTCTGACATGCTTACTTGCTGGCTGCCAGGCAGGCAGGCAGGCAATCGAGGCGAGGGAAAAGCCCGCCAAAATCCACTGAAGGCCTCATGCGAACACTGTGGATCACAGTGCCACTTCAGTCGTTCGCTTGTTGAGTCGCTTGACGAGTCGTGCAGAGAGGTTTTTGGGACTGGTGACAATGTTTGAATGTTCAATTTAATATTGCACCCGTCCCGGCCTCCCTTCGCGATGAGTTCTCCGAAGGATTACATCTGGATTTGCAGCTGAAACGCCGGCTTCTCGGATTCGTGACGGACGCCGATTTCCACCGACAACCGACCGCGACTGGATGACTCAGTCGATTTGAACATGTCCCTCCCAAGATGCCCATGGATACCGATCCGTACAAAAAATCAGTGTCCCGCGATGAAGTTCGACGATTGCCGATGGATCCCCCTAAGGTCGTGACTGGTTGGATTCATGAGCTATATTCTCTTGTCAATTGCAATATTGCACATGTATCCGGCCTTTTGAGACTTTACGTCATCGAGAGCTGATTATTGCATCTGCGGCTAATGTCCTTGTTCAGAGGTGAGTTCAGGCGTCGGATCCTGCAGCCGCGTCGATTTATTCCCGAGGAAAGACGTCAAAATTCCAGCAGATTAGACGTAATTATCATTGATGCTCGACGGCCGGGCGATCTGAGGGAGAAAGAGGCTTTGAGCTCAGCGAGCTCGGAGGAGGAAAGGAATCGACTCCGCATCCGATCTCGTCGGTGTCACGAGCGTGGTGAAAACTCGTTAGTTTCATTACCAGTCGGCTATATTTCACGGTTGATGTCCTGCTGAGCGAGCTGTGCCAATATGTAGAGCTTTCCTTATTGCCTCCCATCCGACTGAAGTATCCATGAAGACTCGCCGACCCACGCTGCTTACTTGTATCGATGCAAATCTGCGATGAATCGAGTAGTAGATCCAGTCCGAGATTAAGCCGGAACAATCCGATCCTGACTCAGCGTCGGGCTATCCTGAGTCTGCTGCTGCCGCTGCAACGAGTCAGTCACTCCCCCTACCCTAGACTGTCTAGACACGCTACCCACCACCATCACAACCGGAGCTACCACTGCCATCTGTCAGTGGATTGGACAGGGGTAAAGAGGGACGAGGGAGCCTGGGAACCTCTAGCCGCTCCGACGATTTGGATCATTGGAGACAGTCTGAGGGGATTGGAGGGAGAAACGAGTGCGGGGGATCCGCCTCGCCGGGACACATCATATCGAAACTTCCCCCTCCCCGAGCTACAGCCGACGAACAAGTGTCCCATGGATTCGAAAATCGCAATTTGCTCCCGTCGTGTATGACAGGTGAGGAGGTTGTCGGGTCGGAACCTCCCTGCCACGATTCCGCTCGAAACCATTTGATTGCTTTGTCGCCGTCTGGGCTCTCATCTTCATCAACGTTCCACCCCAAAGGGCAGAAGCCACGACTAGCCTCCGGTTGTTCAAAAGCCTTTCCCTCGATCGAGAATCGAGGAGATTGTGCCGAAGTTCGCTCCGTGGAACGGGAGAGCAACAAGAAGCACGGTGACGTCGATTGAACAAAAGCTGGCGTACAATACTGAGCAACGAGGGCGAGCGCATAGTGAACTCGATGCAGATCGGTAGTCGAGATTCGCTCGAAGAAACGCAACAATTGCATTCTCGTCATTCATTGTGTCCGCGACTTCGGACGAATACTCCGGAGGATTCGGCTTCAGCGCCAGCTTCAGACGTTCGGTTCTGGCGTCGAGTTAAAGAAGAACGGGCAGAAAGAAGTATTACTCCACCCCGGCATCTCAGTCCGGTTCAGTTCGGTCCTTCTTCGGTTCACTTTCTTGATCGATTCGGCTTTTCTTGGAACCCACCTAGCACGACCGACCGGAGAGCCTGAGCCAAAAGGAAGCAACTGGAGGCCTCCAGAAATGCCCCTTATTCTACTTTGGCTGCCGAAGCGGCTACCGCCGTCGTTGAACGTGCTGATGTTTGTCAATAGCAAGCATGACACCCTCCTTCCCGAATTACCTTATCCCTCTTGCGAAGCCCTCAGCTATCGAGCTCGCTGCTATCGCATCCCACGGCTCGTTGTGTGAATCCCTCCGGTGAGATCGAGAATTGGAGCAGTACCTAGAACATCGTCGATGACACCTCTGTCGAGTATATCGATGAAGGAATCGAATGATTTGGGGGAGTGCAGAGACACAATCCCCGTAAACGAACCTCTGTCGCCCCATGAGTGTTTTCGGACGATCGACCGAGAATGGTACATCGCAAATCAGGCCTGGACTCGTTCCGTATTCTTCTAAGGAAGAGGAAACCGAATCCATTGTGTCACACCCAACAGGGAGACCATGCTCCCCCAGCATAGTCGGATTGACCTCGTCCCCGGATCGAAGATTTATCTTCGATACCGCTCCAGAAATTCCCCGAATTCACACCGAGAAGACAGAAAAGGAAACCTCATTCGTTTCCCTCCTGGGAAACGCTCCAGAGCGCTACGCCGACCGTAAAATCTTCTGGAGGAGTACGGATGACCTTGAAGAAGAAATTGTATCGAAATTTCGATTCCTGCGGTGCTGTACTTAGATCATGAGGTCATCGTCATCGGTGGGAGACTTCGTTAAGACGGAAAGCAAGAGCGGCACCGAAGTGAAAGACACAGAAAAGCGCCAAACAGCGTGGGAAAAAGTTCAGACGTTACACGAAAACAGTAATTGGCGCTATGGTGATTCCCTCGTTGGTGATTACAGCATCGGGAACGGCGAGCACGAACGACAGCGGCCGATGAAGATGAATGAAAAACGTCTACGCGAGAACACGTTCTATTTGTATGCGACGAAAGGGGTATCGAATCTTCGCGTGCGCAACTTCGTATGCCGGTCCCATTCTCGAACGATATCTGAGCCAGCTGTCAACGACTTCGATATCGATAAATAATTCTGTGTACTGAGAACTGATGCATTCGGGTTTGAAACAATCGATCGGATCGGTCGATTCGTCACGGTGAATTCAAGAGTGATTCCTTCCAACACTTCGGAGAGCGGAGCATCAGCGTCCGCTCTGAGGTTTGGGTGCGGCCGTAGTGCCCGAATCATCCCTTCCAATGCCCACGGAAGAACTCGAGCTCAAAGCCCGTGTGTTCGAGAGTCGAGCATGACTCGGTTTCTTTACGGTGACTTGAACAAATGAGCCATCGGGACTCACCCCGGGTCGTAGAAACATCGCGCGACCAACGGGGCGAGGAAGCGTAAGTTTGGGAAAACGCTCGTCATCTTCGGGATGTTGCTTCTCGGACCAAGCGGAGAGCTCGCTGCTGGTACCCAGACTCTCTGAATGCTCGCGAAAGAGTGCCATTCATTTCGATGAGGGACCGAGAGAGCAAACAAGCAATGCTTCACCGAAGAAGCTCTTAGCGGGCAACACTAATCACGGTTCTGTGCTCCAGGAAGCCATAACCTTCGCACGGAGGCATCTTAGTAACCCACTAACCTCAGAATCGCCCCAACGTGGGTAATCGTATTAATGTTGATCTTACCGGGTGATAAAGTCAGTCAAAACCTATGTCGGCTAGGCGGCCCGCCAGCCTGGCTAAATTATGCACCCCGAAGGACAACACTGCCCACCCACCTTCCCGGTGTCTAGACCAAACACAATCTAGACACGGCGTTCAGGAGTTCGCTCTCAGGATTCCGATCAGTCTGACTGAGTGAGTGAGAGCCAGACAGCGAGCTCGCTGGATAGAGGAACGGACCAACAGATCGAGAGGCAGACACGCCGCAATTCGAGGGACGAAGCCACCTGGGTGATGGCGGTGGCGATGGTTCCGATGGTGGTGGGGGGAGATTATGGGGTCTGATGGAAAAGCGGCTCGGCGGCAGCATCCACCACTACCGCCATCATACAGTACACACCCTCCAACAGGAGAAATAGAGCTATACAATGTGCGCGCACCATCGATCAAACGCAAGAATATCAGGTGCAGATCGAGCAGATGACTGCGAGGCACCCGGTGGGCTGGTCTATTTCCCAACGAGCAGCGACTAGGTGACCACATGGTAGAGCTTCACAAATGAGCGGATCACCGATCTTGATTCCCCACAATTACACGGAGTAGAACGCTTGAGCATGCAATTCCGGTCCTACATAATTCCGTCTCGCTTCGATAACAGGAAGAAAGAGACCCCTCCGAGGAAGAGCCCGCTCATCTTATTGCGCTCTAATCAAGGATAAGAGTCAACTCATTCAAACTACGACTTTATTCCCTTATATGAACCTTTTTCTTTCAACACGCTCCCTTTCGTAGACAATCCAGTCGAAGGGAGCTCGCGCGGAAAATCAACGGTGTTGAGCTGTACGAATGAGGGCACTTTCGTCAAAGCAATGAGCCACAGAACCGATAAACAACTTGCTCGATAGATTGGAGAACAACTAAAATATTGCACATCGTTTCCGGGATGACCAAGGAGGAGATCATGGGTTCCCTGCGGCGAGATTCCGAGAATATTCGACAATCCTTTCAGATGTTCCAGGGAGAGTACGCTAGGTCAAGGGTTCATGAAACTCTAGCATAGGCAAAAATCGAACTGAATCGAATCCGGAATAAACTGCAGGTGAAAGAACTCTCTGCGCTGAGAATTCTCCCCTGGAATGGAGGGATTCCCCTAAAACTATCCCTCCTCAGAACCCTTCACGTTCTCGGGAGAGATTTCGGCATTCGCCTGATCTTCCGCGGGTAGCGCTGCCTCACGGCGCTCCTTATCCCGACGCGACCCTTGGCGATCCCCGCCCGTACGTATTATACATATACATCCATATCCACGGGTCATTCGTCGGAGATAATAAGCTGACTATAGGACACTCCTCGAATAATAATATATTAAGTCTCTCCCCCACCAAAAGTTCCCACTGGAGGTCGATAAGCTTTCGGAAGGTGCATGATTTGGAGTGTGTTGATGGCATATTTGGGCGAGCCGATATTCTTGAAACAATTATGCAAACGAGAGCCCTCACTGGAATCGAAGCGAGAAAACGGTTAGGTACGCGGACACGCAGCGTGGAACAGGGAAAATCGAGTCTGATCGAGAGGCTTGTACACATCGTACTCGAGCGGGACTTGGATGCCAAGCGAATGGACTCACCTCCTCATGCAATGAAGGGCAGGAGCAACCTGTTGGGACGCCAGATTGTGATCCAATTCCAGAATAGACAACTGTTCGAGGGTCGCTGACATCCCAGTTCTGTCTTTGGCGCTCTTGCACGAAGTGAATCGCAGACCGTGCATTAGCCTGCACATCTGCCGAGCGATATAAATAATTAGAAGCGTTTCTCTGGTGGACGACAATGGATTGGCTGCCAAGAACTCCTCGTCGTCCGAGGGGTCAAAATCCGCCTCTGCGAACGGGAGAATGAACCACGAACCCGCATCGAAGTATGGAGAACATCGACATTCTTGTTCCTACGACTAGACAGCTGGACTTCCAGTAACTCGGCGAGCTGCTGGAGTTCCAGGTTTTCTTTGACTTGGCATCGCTGGAAGCGTTTCATGTACCCGATCAAGAGTTCAACTCCGCCAGTATTGAGTCGCTCCTGCAACTCGACACTCCCCAACCTGCGCGATCGAGAGGGAAGCGTAGGATTAGTCACCATGCGCTCAGATCTGAGTCCTCGAAGTTCTCAGTGTCGGGGAGTCCTACCTTTCCGCGAGGGTAGCTTGTTCATTGATCCCGACGTTGAAGAAAACCGGCGTCAAACCGAAACTCAACCGGAATTTAGACTCATCGACCGAAGTGTTGAGGAAGGCGGCGGACTCTAGTATCGAGTCGGGGACCGGGAGAATCACTCGTAAACTCACTCTGAAAAACGATCGGAGGTCATCGTTTCGCTCGCTGATGGTGGTTCCTGCCGATGAGAGAAGCGATCGCGCGGAGGATCCTCGACCTATACTCGATAAACACCTGCTGCCCTCGATCCGTGGGCTGGGACCAAGGCGAGGATTGACCGACTCGATGATGAAAGTCACGTTGCGGAGATCTTTGACCGCGACGATCATGTCTTCGATCATGCCCTTCTCGTCTCCGTAGCAGCTTAAGTAGGATACGTATGTGGCTAAAGCGGTTCCCGTCGATCCCAGAGAACGGAGGAATACTTGATCAGGGTTTTGGCACCATAGTTTCGCATGTAGAGCTACAACTGTGGCCGTCAACGAGTGTGCGAAGCAGACGTCCCGTCTGGAAGATTCCAAGTCAGGCGACATTACATATTGGCCATAGGAAGAGAGACGATTTCCGAGAGTGTCTAAAACGGACCTGTATCTGACGCTGTAGCTCTGAGAGGCGGTGTGCGACGGTTCTTTCAGAGAGAGTAAACCGTACGTGACTTTGGCGATTCGATCGAGGGTGGCCATAGCACTGCGGAGTTTCCGGATGCTCGGCCGAAGCTCCTCGGCCCAATACTCCTCTTGCGGATTCAAATTATGAACTTTGGTAGTCATGCACATCGTGGACGCTCGGATATTCAGCGATGTAATGTCCAGGGGCTCGAAATCGTCACAGAGATCCTGCACTGGCGTATGGCTACGAGGTGTCGGAGTGGACCTGAAATGTATTGCCGATCGTCTCACTGTTCGTAAAATCCCTTGGTCGGGGGTCGTGGCCTTGAACTCAGGTCTTGGAGACCTATTTTTGAGATGTTTCTTTCCTCCGACATAGAACACAGGATCTCCTTGGGCTCTGACCTGGCATTCTGCAAGTTATCGCTCCCCAACCGATCCTCGAAATCTTCGTTGTCGTCTTCTTCGTCGTCACTGACATCTCTGAGGGTGGAGAGTCCGCTGGTTGAGCAGAGCTGCCTGGGTAACGAGGCGGACTTGTTCCGATTCAGTGCGGGTGGTCCGGCATCGATCAGATTTATGGGCAGGACCTTGCGTAGCTCAGCGGTCGATCCACTGCAGCGTGCCGTATCCCATACGGCAAGAGCCTCGTCGATGAGTGATTTCTCGCAAGCGACCTGCGAGATTGAAGGGGAGAATGCGGTTGAAGGGATGTGTATGTAATGGATAAGCTGAAAGTCCTACCTTCTCTGGATCTAGAGGAGTTCAGTCTTATATTCCAGATCGAGATCAGGGCAGCGAGGAAGATCACGTAAGAAAAGTTTCCCGCTCAATAAAAGGCGCTTCACTCACCGAGAGTTTTTTTGCTTTGACATTGATCTTCTCGATGAGCGTCATCATCGTTTGCAGATTACGAAGTTGTGCATTGTAAACGAGGCTCCCGATGCAGGTCTCTATTTCTTCTCTCAATTCTTCGATCATTAAGATGCTTTGAGCCATTTGAGAAAGCCTGTCGGGACCTAATATGAAGGAATTAACAATCGAGGTGTCCATTGCGGCATTTTGTGCCTGAGCCGTGGAATGCATCGCTTTGAGTTGCTTCAGCTGCCGATGGAGTCCTCCTTGAGCGTACCTGGTCGGAAGCAGGCGAGAATCTTATTTCCGATATCTGATTGACCGCGGATGCATTTCTTCTCCACTTCCTCCTCTCCAGCCCTCATAGAAGAAATTATCATTAGTGCTCATCAACTCACTTATGAGGCAGGGCAGTAAAAGCTCCCACCGTAACAACGTCGTAGTCGCACAGATCTTTATTTTTCGATTGGCGCACCGTCATCCTCTGCAGGTGGAGATTGACCGGAACGAATTCAAATAGCCGATCACCTTTCATAGCGCTCTGTTTGAAGGCACTCCCTTTGTACTCGGCGAGGGTTTCGAAAGCTTTGTGATACGTCTCGATGAGATGCATGTGGCGCCGAACGGCCGTGGATTGCAGCGATTTCCATTCACCAACTGTAAGGCTTTCCATAGACAACACTATGTCCAGAAGGCGTTTCTCTCCATTCATCCACAAATTCCTGCGGGGGACGAGACCTTCAATTCAGAGCTTCGGTTACGTCTATCTGAAGTTTCGAGATCGAGAAAGTGGTGCTCACAGTAGAAGTTGAGGGATGACCATCGATAATCTGCTCTCAGACATTATCTCTGACACAACGAGTTGGGCTCCGAGACCAGTGTGAAATCGGTACATCGTGCTGAACATATTCTCGAAATGACCTCGTGCGAGTCTCTCTTTGAACGTCGACGATAGCTGCAAGAATCACGAGGAACCGAAATATTATATAAGTATAAGGACACATATTACGGAATAATCTGGGTAACGTTCATCGGATTAATCCAAGAGTGGTAGACTTGAGCCTCCTGATCGTGAACTCACTTGATCGCTGCGTGCCGTGATCGTGACGAATCCGACTGTTTCGTGGTCCGGAGATCTGTGAACGACAGGCATCCAATATTCAGCAACGGGCTACTCGCTCACAGATCGTACACCTCTCACTCAGATTCGCTCAAGTATTATTCCGGATCGAAAATAAATGGAGGCCGTACATCAATGGTAGACGTAGTTGATTGTCAGATGGAGTCAGAAGGGAGCGGATCGATATTGAAGCGCATCCGATGAGCACCTTGGTTTTTGTCAACTTCTCTTTGACGTCGTAGCAGCAAACTCGAATCGATGTCGTGGGCGTGGAGAATCGACCCAGCAGCTCGACGTTAAGTAGAAAAGTGGGGTTCGATGAGCACTGGAACGATCAATGGGTCATCAATTACTAGCAATAGGAGACGGCAAGTCAATCTGTCTGCTGTGAGGAACCCCATCGATACGTGCGGACGGAAAACTCGGAGCTCATGAATGTACCTCAGAAACTTCGGTGTGACCGCACTTGTCCCATATTGCTGGAGCCACACTGCCCATGATGATGAGCATCGCGTTCGGTGCTCTGCCGGAATGATCACAGCGAAGATTGTCGCAACTCAACTCCAGTAAGAGGGGAACCGATGAGAAATCTTCAGCTGAAATTCACAGACACTCGCGTTTACACACCCGGAAGGACTTTTCGACTTCATTCCTCCAACAGGACGTGAGACTTTAACTGTTATTCGGGCAGGAGCGTTATCGTGGAGAAAATCTTGGTGGCCGAGATTCGCTGACCGAGTCGGGAGACTCTCGTCCCCGATATTGGCGAGATCGAAGGCAAAAACTTGAATGAGGACGATAAAATGAAGAACGCGAATTTCTACGAGTTTTATTCCAGGGGTTCACCGATGTATAAACACTCTGCGTCAGTGACAATGGGGGAATCAAATCTTTGGTACTTAGGATTCCATTGAACTGGATCGGGGGCTCGAGACTCATCAGGAGGAGTCATATCAAGAGAGTAACATGAGCTAAGAGAAGCTCGATGATATCGTCATTTGCTCAATCACAGATTGCCACTCTTGACAATCAGTCAAAGGTGATCAAAAGTTGCTCACTTTCGTCTCCGTTCGATTGTGCCAAGTGCGGCAGCGGGGCGTCTTGCGCAAGAGCGAGCCTTGCACGAAGCTCCTCGGCGGTCCTCTTCAGATTCTCAATAGAAGCTCCAGTGAAAGCGTGCATCCAAGAGTCACGTTCTTGTTCGGTGCTGGCCCCGAAGTATATGTGGCCTTCCATGTTATGGACTGGAAAGATGCAGATTTCCCATTAGAACGGGGGATCAGGATGAGAGAGCTTGCTAATCGTTGACGGCGGTTCGGAGAGTGCTTACCGAGCGAAAAACACAACATCGACGGGGTCTTGGGTCCCATCTCAACATGACACTGCTCGAGAATAATGAGCCCTTGCGGTTCCGAACACGGGTCCCGGTTGCGTAAGAAAAACAGCAAGTTCCCCTTCAGCCGGAACCATCTTTCAGTGTAGACTGGAATTTATTTCCGAGAAGTTAATATCCCATAGGGCTCGGCTAGCATCACGTCGCGGATTCGGATTCGATACGCGTCGTACTCACCTTCGTTTTTCCGGAAGAAACCTTCTTGTTTGTCTCTGAAGAACAAAACTCCTTCCTTGTCACATTTGATGGCGGGCTGGGAGGCCACCGCCGTGAGTTCTTTCTCATTGAATCTCATCTTCGTGGCCTACGCCGGCGTCGAGCACGACTTCAACTGAACATCAAAAATCGGATCAGTTTCTCTCCTCTCAAATATACGACGCTCTAAGGTAGGCGGAGAACAGACACTGATGGAAATCCTTTTTGGAGTGTTTATGGGGGTGGAAGCCTCGAGATCCTCTCCGGTTCGTTCGTGGGCTCCGCGCGAAGAATTCCAGAATACAGAGCCCCCATCGCGGCCACAGATTTCAAGTTGTGATTTAAATCCATAATTTCCAGACATTGAATTGTGGAGAAACTCCAGAGAGGACTCCCCGCATAATTGATGGCTACCAGCCTACCTGCTCGGGGAAGAAAATTGAACATCGCTCCAGCAAAATTTTACCTTGATCTCCGCGACATTCCTCTTTCACCATTGGCCTCTTCACAGTGACTTTGGGGATTCGGTCAACGAATTCTACTGGAAAACCAGGAGAACTCTCTCTTTTCCCTAGAATCCGTCACCTGTGATGGGCACCGCACGACGAGAGAAGGGCCTTCTTTCTCACTGTTAGAGGGCTGTGTCGATATGAGAGAGCAAGTGACCGTCGGGAGGCCTTTAGGTCTCTCGATGCCGCGGGCTTTCGAAGCTCATCGTAGAGACACGACCGAAGTTTCCGAATTTCGTAATGTCAGGGTCACGCGAAGTTTTCTGCAGTGACATTCGGATCGGTATCCGGGCAATTCGTATAGATGATCGCCGCACGAATTTCCCTCCCGGGAAGCGTTACGCGTGACGCGTGACGCCCCGACAGTATGGAGGTAAATGATGACAACTATTTGATCGTGAATCGTGAAGAACTGAAGAAGCTCTAGTCCCGGCACTTGGAATTGGGCACTCTAGAAACAACACAGTCTAATTATGATGAGAAAGTTCCGGCCACACCTCGACGTGGATCGAGTTGACGGCGTATCTCCTCCCGTTTATCCTTCGAACTACCATCAACGATCGAACGAACTATCATCTGGCTCATCGATCTTTGCAATGGGTAAATAGACGCAGGGATTGTAGTAATCCTCGGTCGGTACAAGATCGTGTTGGATGATTAAAGCTGAAATGCTGTGCGGTATTCAACGCTCTGTTGAGATCGTTTGACTCAATGATTCGTCGCAGCTCGTTCCGGATTACTTCCGGATGAGACCGAATCACGGGGGCGAAAGCCCTCGTCGTATGCCTTCAAAAAGCCCGCATATGAATCCATAAGCTATGTGTGATCGATGAGGCATGATACTTCATTCGCTCCAATCGGATCCTCTCCGACAGTGAGATAATCTAAGAAGATATCAAATCCCCTCCCGTCAAGCCTCTCGAATTTCCAGAGGAAATCCAATGAGGAGCAGACCTGATGGGCATCTCTGAGCCATTGTCGCAGGTTCCTCGGCTCACAGGATGCCTAGGACGTGACCATAATATCAAATCGAAGCCGGTGGATTTCGCGTGGGGAAACCCGTTATAATATCGCTGGTCCTAATATCACTTTGTCTCATCAGTGCCGAAACAAACTACTCTACATTCGAAAAGAAAAATTGTTCCCGCTCCGACCCGCAATAGCGAAGCAAGATGGGGGCTGCTGTGCTCTTCATCGGAGTCCGTCGAAGACATCGGGAGCCTCATCGAAGCTATCCTCGAAAGATATAGAGGCCCTTCAGGATGCTGCTTGTCGGCTGCCAGCTCTGTACCAACATGGAGACGTTCCATCTCGGAGCGCGGAAGCAACTTTGACAGTCTGCCAGAAACCGCCCGATCCTACCAACGCATCAGGAAAAGATCATCGGCACCATTGTTTCGCCACCGATCGGCGAATTTTATCATGTTGTAAGGTTTAGGATCTGCATCGAATTGTCTCTATGAGCATTCCCTCAGATCTTGTGTGAGCTCGAACAAACGTGAAGCCGCCAGGAGCTACGCCTGGCTATCGCTCAAGCTTTCGAAACGAAGCTGACGTCTACCTGGGGCGATAAAGAAACATGTGTTCCGCGGCGCTGAGTGCGCGAGCATCCCTCCGTGAAATTCTGAGTCGCCGAATCGTTCCCTTGTGTTGCACGGATTATCGAGGAGCTCATTATAGAACTCGCTCAATTGTTGCCAAAGTTCGCCCGATGCGCATCAAGAATGTCAGTGAAGCACCGGTGTCAAACAGGCGCGATCGGCGCCTCAAAGTCGGAGAACGGGCTCAAAGAGACCACGAAGTGGAAGAGCCAGATGACTACTTGCTCAGCATCAATAGCAAGAGCGAATTAGGACAATACCACGCACAGGTCAAGGAGTAAGTGATACGACTTCGGTCTTCCTTTCGTGACGATTAGATCGAGGTTCTTATCATCGAGGGTTCCACATACGCCCGGCGCACAACATCTTCGGAAGTTTTTTTTGCGGGTTCCCGTACGGGGATTAGGTACGGAGTCCGCCTCGGACTCGGAACGGGTCACTCAAATGAGCGAAATCCTGTACTTCTCACGACGTTCTCTGGATAGAATCAGATGAGTTTGGTTCTCTCCGGAAGTCACTCAGATCATGCGAGGCGTTACTCGGGCTTGTTTGAGCGGGAACCTCTGAGTATTTTCCCGGGGAAATAGAATTGGAACTCTGGGGACTAGGTTTTTGTCGATTTCTGTTTTCCGCCGTCCTCATGTGCAAAGGAGACGCGCGTAGTACAAATCTATCGAAGGTCTTTTCGAATTTTTGCGGCGGGCTCCTCTCCCTCTGAAGGGGCTCCATTTTGTTGACTACAGCGCTCACGCACCATGCAAGAGCACACGTGCTGCGGCGCGCTTCTTCGCGACAGACCATAAGACGATTGATCGCGGTACGGGTCAGTCCGAGGAAGACTAGCTCAATTTTTGAAATGGCACATGCAGCTTCGAAGCCACCTTACAAAGTCGCCGATATCGACCTCGCCGATTTCGGTCGGAAGGAGATAATTTGCGCCGAAAATGAGATGCCGGGTAAGTAGTTTCCCGCTTAAACTAACCGTGCATAACGTCCCCATGACTCGAGCTCTTGCGCGCAGCCGCAGCGAGGACTCTACGATTCCTTCGCGAATATGTGCCTAAGCAGTGCTTATCTAAGAAGTCCCGTGGCTCTTTAGGTCTCATGGCGCTTCGGAAGAAATTCGGAGGATCGAAGCCATTGAAGGGAGCCAGAATCGCGGGCTGTCTCCATATGACCATCCAAACCGCTGTCCTTATCGAGACCCTCGTGGAACTCGGAGCAGAAGTTCAGTGGTCTAGCTGTAACATCTACTCTACTCAGGTACGGCATCTCAAAGACGACCTGTCGTAAATCGAATCGAATTAGCCTCGAAATGCAGGACCGGAACATCTGTGGCTTGGATTCAAGAAAAAGTGTTTCGGGGATCTTCCGTTCGCTGATTTCTTCGTTTCTTGGCGTGGGAATAGAAGTGGGGGTCCTTCCTCTTCTGAGGCGGACATCACCATCCGATAGTTTTTTCGTGGGACCAGTCGCTAATTCCTAAGCGAAATATTCCTCTCGAACCCTTCAGCGCATTATCTAAGATCCGTCTCGCTTGCGGCTGGGAATGCTCGATAAGGATCTGATAGAATTGTTCGATTGCATCTTTCGCCATCAAGGGAATCTTATCCGCTCGGCTCAGATCTCAATCCTTGTGGGGACAAAGGAAACTCGACCTTTGGAATGTATCCCAGCCGATGATGGATCGAGGAAATGCCAACGTAATCTACAGCGCGTCATCGATCGCCTGTCCCAGCGTCGCATGTTTCAGCGCCGTGAAGCCTCACCCGATACAACATAGAGACGATCTCTCAAGATATTTAATTAATATGATGACAATACAATGATGCTCTTTTTTCCAGGATCACGCTGCCGCCGCGATCGCCAAAACCGGAGTTCCGGTTTACGCATGGAAAGGAGAAACCGAAGAAGAATACGACTGGTGTATCGAGCAAACTCTGGTGTTCAAGGATGGCAAGCCCCTCAATATGATCCTCGACGACGGTGGAGATCTCACCAACATGGTCCACGACAAATTCCCTCAGTACCTCGAGGGAATCCGAGGGCTGTCCGAGGAAACGACCACCGGAGTCCACAACCTCTACAAGCGACTGAAGAAAGGAACTCTGAAGATCCCCTCGATAAACGTAAACGATTCGGTGACGAAGAGCAAGTTCGATAACATGTACGGTGTCAGAGAGTCGCTCGCTGACGGACTCAAACGAGCGACCGACGTCATGTTGGCCGGGAAGACAGCGTTCCTGGCTGGGTTCGGTGACGTCGGGAAAGGATGCGCTCAATCGCTCGGAGGTTTTGGATCCCGAGTCATCGTAAGCGAGATCGATCCGATAAACGCGCTCCAAGCCGCTATGGACGGATACGAAGTCACTACCCTGGAAGATGTAGTTTCGAAATGCAGCATCTTCGTCACGGCCACCGGGTGCAGAGATATCATTCGAGGAGAGCATTTCGAGAAGATGCCCGACGACTCCATCGTCTGCAACATCGGTCACTTCGATCTCGAAATTGACGTGACTTGGCTCGACAAGAACGCCGTGGAAAAGGTTGAGATCAAGCCTCAAGTTGATCGATACACGCTCAAGAATGGCAAACACATCATTCTCCTGGCAAGCGGTCGTCTCGTGAATCTCGGTTGCGCCACGGGACATCCCAGTTTCGTGATGTCTACGTCTTTCGCCAACCAAGTGCTCGCTCAGATCGAACTCTGGACGAAGCCAGAAGACTACAAGATCGGCGTTTATGTTCTTCCGAAGCATCTCGATGAGGAGGTGGCCCGACTCCATCTCGACAAGCTCGGGGTGAAGTTGACCACGTTGCTTCCCCATCAAGCGGAATACATCGATGTTCCGGTCGGCGGTCCATTCAAGCCTGAGATTTATCGTTATTGATGACTTGAATGAGAGGAAAAATTCCACTGACGATCAACTACCGATAGGTTCACAGTTTCAGGGAAGACACTCCTTTCAAGCTCTTGTCGAGCTTGATGGTGACTGTAAATGCCTTGAATAAAGCTCTCACCTTTCACAGACGTGTTTTTATATCTCTCACCTCAGGACCCATCTGAAGAGGTTCAGTCGTTTCGAATTCGTTAAGCAAAGCGGTCCGTGAAAAAATGCCCGGAAGCTTCAACTCGACCCCCGATGATATATTTGTTCATTCCAGACAGTTTGATGAACGCGCCAAGCGTTTGAAAAACGCGATTCTAAGGAAAGAATTAACACCGCCACCTTTGGAGAGCAATCTTCTGCATTGGGCGGCCAGGCAACAGATCAGGTACCTGCACGAGAAAAATCCACAGGACTGGCCGCCGGAGAGGATCGCCGAAGAGTTCCCCATAAGTGTAAACGGAGCTAAGGTAATGCCCGAGCTGAGAAGGTCAACGTGATGAGATCTCGTCGATATCTCCATCATATTTAACTGTTCATGTGGAATCTTCTGCAGCGCCTCCTGCGCAGTAAAAGGCGCATCAAGCCAGAGAGCATCGAAGCGCACGACAGAGAGGTGGATGCAAAATGGAAGCTCTTGAAGAAAATTCGGTTCTCGAAAAGGGTACCAGAAGAGGGACCTGTCACACTTCACGCGAAAACGATTGAGCTGTACCTCACAGGTGATTTATTCGCATCGGATGATTTTTGTTCGAGGCTCAAGCCTCCGAGACATTCGCTGTGCTTTACGGCCGATCAATGTTTTGGCTGATTTCCAGGCCAGCTACAAAGTGAAAATCTTAAAGCGGGCAACCCGAGTTTCCCGCCAGCGCCGGCTGATAAGGATATTGCCTTCCCGTTCGCCGTCGGGAAAGAAGGCTCGTTTTTCAAGATCTTCCAGGAGTATAAGACCTTGTCGAAGGGAAACCAATCGAATGATCAGGACGAAATAAGCACAGGTGGTGAGATAAAGCATTCTTACTCAGGCACGTGGCGAATGCCCAGGGGCGGGCTGCTCCGATCCGCGGATCTGTGAACTCGGCTCTAAGCTAGATCGGAACGCATCTTGTTCTTTTCAGTCGAATCGGCTGGACAGGAGGAGAAGCCAGCGTTCCAAGACGAGATCGGAGATGACCCCGAAGCAGCGACTCATCTCGATTTACCGTATCGTTTGAGGGCCCGATTGGAGAGATCTTTCCGGAATGAGTCGATGAATCTCGAGGATTTCAAGAGTAAGCTGAATCTGAAGGAGCAAGTGCGGCTTGGAGCAACGGGACAGCCCGAAGAAGTCCCAACGAGGAAGAAAGATTTCCGTTTCTCGTCGAAACCTCATGTGAGAATCGAGAAGTTCGTCGAGCCCCCCAAGAGAAAGAAACAACCCCTGGAAACTGCGGAATCCCCACCGGAAAGTGACGCGCCACGGTCTTCTGACGGCGAAACTCTTTTCCGAATTCCGAAGTATTGATATCTCGTGGACTTCCTCTAACTGTTCTTGCTTGCCGGATGGTGTTGCACGTGCGGGATATAATCGATACGTTGTAGACGTTTGTAAATCGACGGTTTCCTCGTGTCAGAATAAAATGTTTTGTCGGGATCGATGGCCTTATTTCCGGTGACCGTTAGACGCAACGGGAAACGGGAGGATCATACCTCATCTCAGCTTCCTTGCTCTTGACACGGCTCCGAATTGCTATAGCACCGTTCATGGAACTTTCTGTGTTCATGACCCTCGGAGTTGGTGGAATGTTCAGTCATCTCCTAGACCGTGACCGTCGAAAGGAATAATTATTACTGTAGACTGGGATGTGGTCCCAGAAATACATAGAAGGAGGGAGGAGCAATGAAGCTATTGCTCGTCCCCTGCCACTCCCGCAGAAATCGTCTCAAGGCTATAATTTTCGAAACCACGCGACCGAAATCCTTTCGCGATTCGGTCTCATGCTGGGTCCTCCGAAAGACTAGACGCAACTTTCTGAAACAACTCCTTAATTGACTCAGTTTTATTCATGTCCTTCATTTGACTCTAAGATAATTTACTTCCTTCCCGCATATATATGTACATGATTCGACCGTAATTGCTTCAGTTTTCGTCTCTCATTAAACCAGCCGAACACTCGCCAACGTTCACGGTAACTGACCGGTAGAAAAAAATCGAGAGTTTTAGATAGCGGAACAACCGTATCCTGAGATACATCGATCTACCCCTCAGTGAGCGAAAGGTTTTCGCATCGCACTCGTCCCACAGGACCGAATGCGCTACGGGTGGAAATCAGCGGAATATAATATCAACGATCCAATCATCACCTATGATCAATTAAAAACGTTGAACACTATCTGTTGGTTGACGGCGTCCCGAATTTTATCGACACATTCGAATTGGAGTCGGATTCGGACGGAGGGTCTTCAATAATAATTATTCGAATCAATATGCCGTCTCCGAATCCGGCTGCATTGAAAATATTAAACTCCTCAGTCAGAATGCTCTATATGTACAGCTCACTCTAACGGAATGTCTCATCATGTATTAGATCATCATCATTGATTCCGAGCATCGGAACGGAGCTGGTCGCTCGCACAGATGTAGTGAACGATGAGCTTGCATTGGATATTCGTTGCATGAGTTTTTTTTATTCCGTTCTCCGATACGCCTACCGGGCTTGGTGAAGATGCGCCGATCTTGATGTTGAGCATCGTTCCTCCCATTCCGAGTTGGTCTATTCCCCTCATGCGACTGATTCTTGTTCTGCGCGAAGTCAGTCAAGGACCTTCACGGACAGGTCAAGGGCTGCGAAGGAGAGCACGACCCCATGTTGTTCGCGACACGGAGCCACCTTCGGCGAATCTTCTGGCGGCTCCTTTGCTTTTTCGCCTGCGTCCCGCGTGCTCGACTTTTGGTGGCGTACGTCGATCTTCCCTTTCCTGTCGTATTTATTTTCGCTATTCGTTTTTTCTCTATACAGAACACTCCTCTTCGATTTCCCTCTGGACCTCTTTCTTTTCCCCAATCTCTCGTCACGCTACCAGCGCGTCACAATTGCGTCCGAACTATCCCGCGTTCTTGAGGTTCAAACCCTCGCAGAGAAGGGACCCGATCCCTGAATCTTCCAGTTCCATTCGTTTTCCGCTCCGACCAGCGGCCTGCATCTGTGTCATAATGCGAATGGGAATACGAATGAATATTTGCAAGTTCGCATGCAGCAGGTAGAAATCCGATTCCTAATGCGTTGCAGCCGGTGAGAGAAGATGCGTCGTCAGCAGCAGCGATACTTGCGGTGGTTGTAGAACTCGGCTGATGATGCCGAGGCGTGGTGTCGACTTGGAAGTATCGAGGATAAAAAAACCATAGTAAATGTAGTACTGATAAAAGTGATTTCTGAGGAAGTGATGATCGCCACAACGCGGTCATCCATCTGCTCGCAGGTTCTTCACGACGCGACGTGAGAGTCTTCTAAGTAGAAGTACGGGAATGAACACAAATACTATCTGATTCCTCGGTTGATTGCGTGGCATCTTCTCTGCTCGCTCGCCTGCTTGCTTGTCTGCTTGCTCGCTCGCTTGCCTGCTCGGTTCGTTCGTTCCTTGCGCCTTCGTTCCTCTCTTTCCCTCTTTCTGCCTCAATCTCTACCTGTGTGTTGCTGGCTACCGAGAGATAGCACTCGATGATACAATAGTCGGGCTAGGGCTCGCTAGTACATCTAAGTGGACTTTGAGTTGGCGTGCCTCTTGGAGTAGAGCGAGTCGATGGCCTCCTGGTAGAAGTCCTGGATTTGCTTCCGTCGGATCTTGAACGCCGCGGTCACAAGCCCGTTCTGGGGCAACCAGTCTTCAAAGCAGAGCTTTACTTTGGTGGGGATTTCCATTTTGTGCAGCTGGGCCTCTCTTCCGTGTTCCGTGATCATTTTCGTGGCCTCACGAACGATTTCGGGATTTCCGCATAGTGCCTCGAAGTTCTCAGGATCATGACCGAGCTGTTCCGCGAGCTGCTGCAGGGCTTTTCGATTTGGGGCGACCAGCGCCACGACGTACGTATGGAACGAAGAGGCATACACGCAGATGTTGTCAACGATCGGGCACGTTTTCAATTCGGTCTCGATCTTTCCCAGGGAAATGTACTCTCCGTATTGGAGCTTTACGAGGTCCTTCTTACGATCGATGATCTTGATCGTTCCGTCGGAGCACATTTCTCCGATGTCGCCGGTGTAGAACCACCGGATGTTGTTTTCGACGCGGAAGAACTCGCGGGTGAGGGCATCGTTCTTGTAGTAGCCCTTGGCGACGGTGTCTCCTCCGACGACGATCTCCCCACGGGGCGGGTTATCGTTGGCGTGGTAGCCGGCCTCGTCCCAATC